ACCATGAAGAAGATGGTCCTCCCAGAAAATGGTGGCACAATAGCAATGTTGAGAAAAAATTGCATCTGGTATTGGTTCTCCACAACTGGCTAATTGCAGAGATAACTGAAGCGGAAATTAAGTAGAGTGTAACTATCTAAATCCCTTTGTAGATCCCTTTGAAGTTGTTTGACTTTCAGAAGTGTTGAATGCTCTGCATTTCCCAAAATCAGGGACCTATACTTGTGTTCTTGTTGAAGTTTTATTTTGTAAGCATGGCTGGAGGGCTTGATTTTCATAGGTGCTGAATAGTATTAGTCTGTAGTTTGGCACCTGGCAAGTGGAGGACTCAAAATTAGATGCTTTCTTTGAAAATGTGAAACTCTGTCTTTAAGCTCCAGGGAAATATTTCACAGACATGGAAAGAGGCTTCACCTCATACATATAAATCACCGAGTTTTATTTTTTAATGTTGGTTGACTTTTGGGGGGGCGGGGGGGGGGAGGTGGGGGCGGGGGTCGTGGGGGGGCGGAGGTGGGGGGGCGGATCTTGTTTAGAATGACTTTGCTTTTTTTTTTTGTAAAGGGAGAGGATTCGGTTTTCTTCACACACAGGCTTTGGGATCTGAAGAACGGTGACAGTTCATTTGCAGGTGGGGGACAACCTTTTCCAGCCCCATAGCCTTATTTGAGGACTATCTGCTTTGGAAAGTGTATAGACTGTTGCTTAGCAACCACCCTCCATTTTCTCGAAGTAGCAGGAGGATGCTCTGTGCATGCATGTGCACTTGTAATCTCGTTTTCAGACCACACAAGGCCTTGTTGTGATAGTCAGCCAGATCATATACAGAAATATTTTGCAGACCATCAGTCCATTTCCATTCAGCACAGGCAAAATTGGAACCAGATCCTTTTAATGTTCAGTCTCTGAGCTGGAAATATTTGAGATGATTGTATCTTGTTTGCTGGGAAAACTAAGGGATGAGGGGGATGAAGGGGAATGGCTTTAAACTGGAAGAGGGTAGATTTAGATTAGATATTGGGAAGAAATTTTTCACTATGAGGGTGGTAAGGCACTGGAACAGGTTGCCCAGGGTAGGTGTGGAAGCTCCATCCCTGGAGGCGTTCAAGGCCAGGCTGGACGTGGCCTTGGGCAACCTGGTCTAGTGGGAGGTGTCCCTGCCTATGGCAGGGGGGGTGGGACTAGATGATCTTCATGGTACCTTCCAACCTAAACCGTTCTATGATTCTATGATTACCTGGGCAGTGAGTTCCTAGTCCAAGTTTTTACTGAAAAGTCAATTGCAAACTATCTGAAGTCTTGCTAAAGTATCCAGGATGTTTTCTGACAACAGAGGGAAATGTGAACAACATACACCCACAAAAACAGTGTGTCATTACTGTTGCATGGGACCGAACAGAAATGTAGTTGCTTAATTGGTTAAGAAACACACAGGGTTCACATGATGATTTTTTCCCTCTGGCCACTTGTCAGAAATGTAATGAAGCAGCAGTGAGTTGTTTATGTATCATTGTGTTTGTACTACCTACATGGGTGTATGCTAGTCATATGGTGCTGATGGGTCTAAGACGTACACTAGATGGTGCTTGCATAACACAGGGAGCAAAAAGTGCTTCTGTCTCAAGATGTGTCAGTAACTCAATGCTCCACCTCCTCCCTGAGTATTTTTTGTGATGTGCACTCTGTTCCATTAAGTGGAGTCATGTAATTAAATATAGAAGGTTCACGAGTCATGTAAAAAAAGGGTAATTTTCTATATCACTGACCAATGCTATTAAGAGATAAAGGGATTCATTTGCATATCTGTATACATGTTCACACATGCTTATGTATATACACAGTCTTGGCAGCTCCAAGTTTCTAAAGACAGAGAGCTGATATCATGAAACCTTTTCTATATTGCTTTAAAGAGCTACGCATGCACAGAACTGAAATGAAAGACTCTCTACTATATGTTTGTACAGATCCCAGCACCATACAGGTCTTAGGTAGTGTCTAAAATCTAGCATGAACTACCAGGAATTTTGGAAAAGAAGAAGAGAAAAAAAAAGAAAAAAAAGAAAAAAGAAGGACATGTATCTTCCCCATTTCATCAGCATTGTCACAGAAAATAAAAATAAATAAAAAAAACCCCAAAACCCTGAATGCTGAAGGAAATAATCTCTATATACTATATAAAGACATGTAAGTTGTGTAAAAGCTTTTTATATATCCTTGGGACATCTGAAAAACTAAAGGGAAGAAAAGCTGAATCAATCGTTATATTTCCATGTGCTCCATAAATTTTGTATATATCAATAAAGGATGTCTTGGATTTCATTGAAAAATAAAAATAAAAATCCTCAAAAATTATTGACAATAATTCAAGTGTCAACATAAAGCTTACCATATCCCAGCTCAAATATGATAAACACACTACCAAGGCATACTATATTCTTGGATTCTTGGTCCATTGTTTTTAAAGTCCAGACACAGTAACAGCTTACAATAGTTTAACATCCCAGTTAAACATGTTTAACTCTAAATTATTTTAAGGATCTTGCTTATTTCAGTCATGTCTGGAGGCTCATATACCTGGAAATGTAGTCTAAAATAAAATGTAATTACTTTCAAGGCTGGCTTTTGGACAGAGAAAGGGAAGTGGATAGCAGGGCTCAGGGGAAGGAGGACTGTCAGAAAGAAGAGAGAAGTTGAGCCAGATTGGCTTGTATTGGTGCCAACATGTGAACCCAAATATCCCAAATCAAGTTAGGCCACCAAAACACAAACAAGAGCTCAACAACAGTTTCTGCAGTCTTTTAATATCTGAGGTCGTTATAGTCGAGGTGTTTGTAAGAGGAACAGTAGTGGCAAGCTATTCTTTGTGTTTTATTAAATGGGATGGGATGTAATGAAGACTGGGGTAGTGGATATGGCTGTTCCTGGAAGAGTTGTGCAGGTGGTGAAGGGCAAGTTGCTGAAGGTATAACAGAAGCAGATAAGCAAAACCAATATTAACCAATAGGTTTTCAACTCTCAGGATGTGGGAAACTTTTTGGAAAACAGCGGACACGTACTAAAGGTCAACACGAAGGAGGAAATCATGCGCTGACACCGAAACTACTGCTACTCCCCAACAGATGCGGAATGTGTATTAATTAAAAGACTGACTTGGCAGAAATAGTAACAAAGTGTAGATAATAAGTTACAGCTGCATTTAACCAATAATAGTTTGTGTGTATAAGTCTAGAAACCAATGAGCACAAGCCGCAGAGCTAGCCCACGTTGTAGTAAAAAGTATATAATGGTTTAAGTATTTTAATAAAGTGGCTTCAGCATTGATCATATTGGTCTGCGTCTGGGTCCGTCCGCATCAGGATACGACAGGCATTTCATTCAGCTGTGTTTTGACACTAGCTTGCCATTATTCCTCGGCCTTCCTATTTTAATTTTTCTAAAATCCAAGGAGCTTCAATGGCTTCACTGTGAAGCAAGAACATGGTTTAAAGTGGGCCAAGACATACTAGCTTCCAAGTGGCCCATCATGGAGCAGGGTCACGCCAGACTATGCCTGCATCTGGATTTTGTTACTTCGAAGAGCAACAACACCTGTTTTCCATTTATGCAGCAGAATTAGCAGTTGGGCTCCAGACTTGGCTTCTATGATTCTTTCTGATCCCAGGAGGAGTCAGATGCCAGGTGCTGGCTTTTGCAGCTCTGTTACACCAGGATTTAGCTTAGGTTATTATATACTGTATCAGTTCTAGTTACAGGCAACCCTGCTTTCTTGTTCTGTTTTCCCCCATTCCTTCTGCCTGCCAGCCTCCCCCTGCCTCCCCCCATGTTATCAGTCCAGACTGGGAGACAGACATCTAAACCTGATAAAATCCAGAAGTATCTAGGGAGATCCAGTTCTTTCCTAGACCTACAGGAAGGTCAAGAGGATTTCCAAAGCAGGGGCTGGGTGGTTTTGTGGGGGTGGATGGTGGGAAGAAGCAGGAAGGAGGA